ACAATGGTAACGGCGAGCTTAAAGTCTTTTAAAAAAGAAAATTTCGCCCACTCGAATTCCAGCCATGCCCAACACTCGATGTTCCGGAAATATTGCTCTTATTAGAATTCACGAATAATATATCTCACCCAGTCAAAACATAAAATAAACTAACAGCACCAAACGACCCACTTGAAAATGGCTAAAGTAATGGCCGAAAGCGCTTAGGCCAATCGACGATATGGAGAGTTCTTGTACTCCTCCTACCAAACGAAAAAATGTAAGAATGTAAAAAAAATTAAATAAAAAAATAATATTTTCTTGTCCGTCATATTTAAGGAAAGATGCTTAAAAGAAAGGTCGCTGCCTCTCTCTCACTCTCTCCCTCTATATATATATATAAAGACATTTTTATGTTTATACATTCTTTTTTTAGATACAAATATTTAAGTAAATGCCCTGTTTTATAATAAAACATTTACCGGCCTGAATGTCCGTGAAATTTTCATAGAAAATATTCGTCATCCGACAGGATTCGAACCTGTATCCAATACGGAACCGTCATTTAGCTTGACGTGGCTTAACCGATTTGGCTACAGAGGAGCGTTCGGCTTGCAAGGTCGAATTTACTATATATATATATATATATATATATATATATATATATATATATATATATATATATATATATATATATATATATATATATATATATATATATATATAATGATGTAATAAAGTGTAGAATTTTTTAGGTGATGATGCGTTTGCCAACAGAGAGAATCAAAACAAAAAGGAAACGTATACTTAACATCAGGTAAATAATGATGAAAGAAGGCTTGGAAACTCTGATACTCCACAAGGCCACATTAAAGGCAAGAAGGACAGACGAAAACAACGCATATCATACTTAGTGAACTTGAGTAAATAGCGAGCGGAACAGGGCTCAGGAGAGATAAAATTTATTAAAACCTACAAGAGAGATGAAGTTGTGGAGAGCCATTATCGTCTACGTCATGAACACAGCACATAAAAAGGAAAAAAAGGCGCGTAAGAAAAATGCGTTGGCATTTCCGAGGCGAAAGAGGGCAAAACAGATATCTACTGAAGTGGGCTGATTTAAAGCCCAAGAGACACCAAGGCGCTATTCACCCCCATATATATATATATATATATATATATATATATATATATATATATATATATATATAATATCTTTTAAGGGTTATTTTTAGTGGATATCCCTATTTGAATAGACGCTCCGTTTAATTTAAACACATTTTTTTTAATCTACCGAAAGGAGTATTTGCGAAATTTTATTAAAGAAAAATATGTGCCTCATATATATATATATATATATATATATATATATATATATATATATATATATGTGTGTGTGTGTGTGTGTAAATTGCAGCTGTCTTCTTTTGTCATTTCGCGCATGCACTTTGTTTTTGATTTTGTCGACTCTACAGTATAATAGGGTCAGTTGAGCACAGTCTGTGAGAAACAGAGCAATATGACGCAATTCACTCTGCCAGAAATTTTTAAACGGCATGCTGTACTGCTTGGCATTCTCACCGGAAGTTCTAATACGAACTTTAATCGGACTAAAGACACGTTTATGCTAATGTGATTATTCATGCGAATGAAGGAGAGGGGACACAGAAAATCTTTCCACTTTGTCATAGTTTTTTCCTAAAATATGTACACTAAAAATAAAAAAAAAAATGAATCCATCCTGCATTTCTTAAGAAAAACACCTTAAAATTTGTATCTTTGTATTGTTTTAAAGTAAAAGATAAGATTTCAGTAACGACAGTGTATTTGGTTTTATTTTTGACAAAAAAAAGAGCACTTAACTATAAAAAGATTATCATACAACAACCTCAATAAACAACTACTACAGCTTTACAAATTCCTATCATTCTTTTGAAAAAATGTAGATGGCAGACGTTCGCAAGCATTCTTCAAGCACTGAAAAAGCTCCCTCTCACTCTTTCGGGAAAAAACTTTGGACAAACCTGGTCTAGATCTAACTGAAGAGCTGTATTACTTCACGGTCATACATGTCTGGCGAGGCTTCGAATCTCAATACATTCCAAACCTCATCAGAAGTATGACAAAGAGGAAATGAGAGCCTTAATATGTCTCTTCTTGGACTATACTCTATGTATAAACAAGCACGGATATGAAGATATAGGCACTGCTCATCTAAGCATTCCATACCACATCCTAAATAAGTCTAACAATAGAAGACAACAATCCTGATTTCCCTTCTGATGCCAATGTGCAGATGATGAGCAAGGCTATGCTGATGACAGACACTACAGGCAAAAAGTTTAAAATGTGATATTTTTGTATTTTTTTTAAATTAAAGTTAAAATTTCAGTAACTGCAGTGTATTTGCTTTTAATTTTGACAAGAAATAAACACTTAACTATAAAAAGGTTATCATACAACAGCTTCAATAAACCACCATTACTGCTTTACAAATTCTTAGCATTCTTCCCGACAGTCTTTGAAAAAATGTAGATGGCAGACCCAAGCATTCTTCAAGCACTGAAAAAGCTCACTCTCACTCTTTCGGTATTCTCTTTGAACTCTCCTATCCAATTCATCCCATACTAAGTCAATAGG